AATAGAGCTGGCCATTTTTGCAGCCTTCAGGGTGCCAACGGGCCCCGTAGAACTGCACGATTGCTTAGGCTCATCCAATCTTGCGATCGCGCGCATCAACTCTTGCCTTTAGCGTCACCACTAGGGAGGTAGGACATGGCCATCACTGAGCAAACCTACTGTATGCAGTAGGATGGCTGCTGATTACTGATTCGCTAATGAACAGTGATTTTTTCTTAGATATGGATGGTCGAGCACTATCAGCCTTTGATATCACTTCATGGAAGCGGTGCTTCGCACCTGAATAAAGCTGTTGAACAGACCGGTGTGCCATAAACCCAACCCTAAGACGCAGAGCTGATACCTTCCCTTCTCTGAAGAAGTTGGGCTTTCTTATGGGCCTTCCGTCCTTGGTGGCATCAGCAGTTGGTTCTTCTCTGCATACTTACGATTTGATATGGAAGATACTGTTGATAGCTTAGGTTGTTCAGCTGGTGGCCGGGTTATTTGGCATTTTTTTTCGCAAGAGTTTCGTCACGAATCGTGGTGACCTCACTAGTGCTTATAGCAAAGCGACGCAGCGATTGCTGGTGAATCTTAGAAGGGACAGAACAGCTGTACAGTGCTTGTGAGCTTTTATGCACTGGGTAACTCCATTTACAGGATGGAAGCTCAGTTGAAAACTTTCAAATTAATTTAAAGGGTATGATGCCTTGTCCTCTGTGACAAGGACAACTGCGCCATGTGACTTCTTCCACGTGGTCCACTAACTATCCAGACTTGTTCTTGTATTCCGAACTGGAAGAGTCGTCATGGCACACAGCCAGCGGCTTAGAGCAGTAATGTGGAGGTGACAATTGGGTTCAACTTGACATTTTGACTAAAGCTCGAGAGGCCGAATATTTGTCGTTAGAAACCTCTTCAGATATGTTACGGAAGTGCACTCGGTTTCGTACTCGTCCTTTTTTTTACTGTCCTGAGCTTTTTTTAGATGTGCCATTCCATGTTATATACTGTATAGCCCAACTAGCCTTAAGACAGCTCAATATTTAATGAGGATGCACGTAGTCAAGCCAACTCTGACTTTTCGGTTGCTTCTGTCTACGCCTGGGTAAGGTGTAAATCTCTCAACCCTGGTACATCTTTCGAGGTTCACGGTAGCTCTGCATCGGAAGGGTTCCACAGCTGAGTGTTTGTGAGTCTTGCTGTAGAAAATATGTAGGACATATAGATGTAGAACATATGGTTGACGGAAACTCGGGGACTGCGCCTACCTGATGAGCCCCAAGGAGGGCGAAAACGGTCGTGGGCTGTCGAAGAGTTTTCAGCAACTTTGCCGAAGATTCGGATCCGGTCTACTGTGCTTTGCTATTTGCGGTCATCTTTCTTTGGACTGTACTTCCTTAACTCCAGATTTCTCCATCACGCACATTCTTATGAACGGTATATTGGTTGATTGCCACAGCCCCTATAGTCGGACCTGGTTCCTCAGTAGGTGAGTGGACGTTCTTCCCGTGTGCACTGATGAAATGCACAGTCGGAATTTCAAACTTGGTGGTCAGGTAGGATTTCCTCCAGTCAACTTTGTGGAACAGGAAGCAATTGCGTGGTACTTTGCAGCCCTAAATGGCATTCGGGGGGTGAAACAATCCGCTGAACCTTTACCAGCATGTTTTACAACAACACTGCTGCATCTCCCGTTTCACTAGCTACCCAGTCCTCCGGGTTCTCTTGCAAAGTGATTAATGGGATTCGCGAAGCAATGCTCTTTGAAACTATCATTCAACAGTGCACATTGGAAGTGAACTGAACTTGACATTCCAACGTATCGTCTTACCATAGCTGACCGAAGTTGATGACCGTAGCAAGCAGCGTCTGCGTCCCCTGACTGGGGAGTCGTAGCGTCAAAATTTTCCGTCCTTTTTTCGAGGCATTACATCTTGCCCATCAACCCAATGTTCACGGTAACGTACAATATGATCCATTAATGCGAGGACAAATGGGGATATGCTCGGGCAGAGTAAGATAATGCGCAGGGAAACAGGTCGTCGGAAGCGAACTCAGACGGTTACAACAATTATGGTTGATACTCAATCCTACACGTTTGTCTGTTGTGACCGACTCAGATACATCGAGGTCAATCTTCAAGCCCAAAAAGTCGACCTGGTTAGCCGCCTCCGCAAGAACAAAAATAAACACTCTTGCTTGTACTCTGATTTGCTTCTGCATTGATGTATGTTCGCTGTCAGAAACAAGAACCGAGGACGCGAGTACCGTAACTCGTCACCCTTTCGAAGCTTTCGTAAATCTAGTGATGCAGAAACCCAGGTCGTTTGGTATCCCGGGATAAGTATTGTTTCGGTTTATCTACCGGAAGCATTTTCTCCGTGATTCATTTGGGAACAACTGGCTGAATTTCCAGAAAGGGAGATTCATAGCTTCCCGTCCATTGCGTCCGCCCTCAGCTTGTCCAGGACACGATGCGTCACATGCCGTGTTGCGACGGGCTCAGACACCGCTGAGGCGCTGGTAGGTGGGTCAAGCGGTGCTAAGGCCCGGTTGGACAGCCAACTTGTCGTGTGAAATCCTATTCTTGGGCACCAATCCAGGACTTACTACTTAGCAACTCAGACTGTCGACCGTACATGTAGGCCGAGGGCACGAGTTTCGAGCGAGCGTCGAACTACTTATTCAACGTGGGTAGTATACTTCGGAGCGTCATACGTTTGAGGTCACCGAACGACATGACATCGTCTTCTGTAACTTCAACTGCCTACCAAACCACAGATCTGTCTGTTGGCGGCGCCGCAATTATTTGCGTCTCTCAAGAAACGCTTGAGGTTTTAATGCCCTTTTGACAATTGCATTTCAAGTTTTGACGACCAAGCAGGATGCATTCTCACCTTCACCCAAACCTGGTTGTTCATTTCTGTTGTGGCAACCAGAATGTATGGACTGGTGTACTGCAATCGCTGGTTATGATAGCTGTTTCTGCGTCAACCAGAAGTGTGTCTTGTTGACTGTCAGACTCATTTTATCTTCCACCGTCCTGGACGTTTTTGCCCTTGTCGGCAAACACTGGCGTCTCGTTTACAGTTAGCTGAGCCTTCGCTTGATGGCCGCACACCAGAGTGCACAGAGGTTGTGCTTTTTTAATTTTTAGATTGTCTTCCATCAAATCAGACTTGTTTTCTGCCCTCGTCACGAAGAGACTGGACCTTACCGTGGTGTAGCGGTTTGTGTACCTCGGCGACTCATTGAGCTATACTGGAGAGTATCCGCACGATGCTCACAGAGTCTCTCATACCAGGTTGGTCCATGGGTAGAGGTCCGACGAACGCAGCCTCCTGGCCCTCCAAGTTGGGGGTTAGAACATGTATGGCGACGTGTTCCGTAAAAAAATGGTAATTTACTTGCATTTCCAGCCGAACACCGCTGCCTTACGGTTGGGTTTTTGAGCCAAAGGCTTTGGTTGAGGACCCTAATCGTCCTCCTGTCTAGGTGTGGGCGCCCTGACAGTATCCCAGTCCTCGTACAACCGTGATGGTTGTACGGCAGTGAAGCATCAGTGCCAACACCGATGTTGTTGTCTTTGATGATGATGTTTTCTGCCCCCAAAGACGTGTTTAAAACGATAGGAATCGGCTAACTGAATCAAATGTTGCTAGCGTCAATGCTGTTGTAGATGTTAGTGGCCGCAGCAGTGAAGTTCTGAGTGCTTGTTGTCCTATGTTATTCGATTTGCTAAACAGTCACCTTGAAAGGGTGATACGGTCCAGGGAATCGCAATTAACTTGAGAAAGAACATTTTTGATCCATACGGACAGTATGTAGATTCTTCTTTTCTTTCCCTCCACTTAATAGAATTGCCCTGCATAGCACCGAATTCCGATTTTCCGCCCAGAGGACGTTGACCCGTAATGTCGATATCCTCTCATGCGTCCTTGTTTTGCATATCTGTGTCGATCCCTAGCTGAGCTTGTAGGCTTCTCAGTCCGGGAATCGCAGTGATCCCTGCTCTCCTTGCAGAGCATATCAGCGATGGTAACACGCTATCCAGACGTACAGTCGGCCCCTGAAACACGGATTGGACACTCCGTGACCTGTATCAGTTTCGGTGCAGTGTATTAGAACTGCGTTTGACAATACCGATCAATTTGATATAAAAATGATAAATACATTTCCAAACTACTGAGGTAAACTCTTACAATGATCACTCTTAGCCTGAACCATTCTCGTAATTTCTCTCTGCATACCACAAAGGATTTTCGTCAAAACATACTTTCTAGGAGTTTCGGTTTGATGTTCTCGTTCGGATTGAATAGACGTGGTTTTGCGGTCGATCACCAACCGGTTTATCACCTGACCTCAGATCCCAAATGAATATTTCTTTATATCTTTCAGATGTACTCACTGGTTGCAACTAGGGTGACCAAATTTGTAGAATTTATGGAGCCTGTTTTTAGTGTGCTATTAACTATTTACTCGCCAGCAACTATATTGTTCAGGTGGTTTGACTTACCTTCTGGTCTGAGGTTTTCCAGGAGTTCATCAAAGCCTAGTGGAACACTTGTGTTCCGCGTGTACAACTTCCTTTCACATTGTGGTCCTTGTTCGTCTGTCGTCCTCGAGTCAGAAGATAAGCGGTCGGTTTCAGTTATCTTATTCGTGGTTGGTCAGTCATCGTCAGCATTCTTCGTGTGCGTAAAGATGTGATGTTGTTTACACATACACACACTGGACAGGCGAACGAGCATTCTTATTTGACTCCAGACACAGAAATGAGTGCACTATCGCTACATGGTGGTATGCAAATTTTCGTCCGCCGTTGGCAGGTTTGACGCAGTTTGCGGTTTGAATTGGTTTTTACCGAGTAGTCACGGCCAGTGGTAGTCGCTATGAGCCACGACGACTTGTCTTCCGTATTCTCTTTCTCAAGTTATGCCTCACAAAGCTCCTCTACAAAGCCTGCCAAATCCAAACACCACAAGTTCCCAGGACGTCTTGTAAGTACTCTGCAGCGCTGGAGTAGAAGACATCACCAAACACCTATTCCCGTCTCTCCTGCCGTTAGCTCGCACGATTCTTCAGACACACTGTCTTATGCCATGTCGGAAACCGCAGAAAGTTTGGTTTCTTCTGTGATACGTGATCGCAGTCAATTCACGGCACTTGTCTGCGCCCAAAGTGATGTCATCTCATCCCCAGAAACACCCAGACCTGGAGTTTGTCCACGCCCGGAACAGACAGCGGAGATTGGCGGTGTATTGCAACGTTATATTGATGCTTTAGAGTTAGCCGAGCTAGAAAGCCGTAGCGATGCTCGTGGCCCATTTCAACACCGACCAATTAATTCGCGCAAGGAGGTCCGTGCACGTGTCCGTGAAAAAAGTATGTACGATCCGAATCGGCGCATGCGCCTCATTAGCGGGGATCCCTTGGCCCTGTCTTATAATAGATCCCGAGGAATCCCATTGGTATGTTTTTCCTCGTTTGTTGCTGTCAATTGACGTCCATTTCACATCTGTCTCCATGCACTCATGATGTCGATTTTCGTCGTTTCTAGACGTCCGAGGAGGATAGTCGTCTTGGCTTTGGCCATTTACCGGACCAGATGCATCGTAAGGCGGTCAAGAAAGGCTTCAATTTCACACTGATGGTTGTCGGTAAGCTCCTTTTTTCTAGCAACTCGTGCACTTTTTTCGCGCACTGTGGTAGATGCTGTTTATCCTAACTGCTTTGTTGCATGCTACTACTACTACTGCTGCACGGGTTACAAACCTGATCCGTGTGGTTGTAAAATTCCCGCGCAGCTTGGCGTTTGACTGGCACTGTTTGGAAGCATTTAGTAGGCGATTGTTTCTCTCCCACGCCTGCTGGTTTTCTAGAAAAGCAAATTCAATCCGTTAAGCAAATTGAGCACGTTTGACTCATTGTGGTGGTCAAGGGATCATATTTCTGGACTGAGTCTTTTGTTTTATCTTTCGCCAAGTTATTTGACTTTCTGCTTTGTGGATGCGCACTTCGGTTTTCTACTTGCGTTTTCAGCTAAAATATAGTTCATTTGTTTGTGCGATATATTTTCAAACTCTTTTTTTCATTTGATTCAACTACGTATTGGTAAGAGATAGTGTTTTGAGTAGTTTAGGGTGGTTGAATTGTGAACGCATCAGTACCAAGCGGATTCGGTTGTAACAGGCAGACGGTTCTATTTGAGGGGTAAGAAGAACCCATGCCTCATGTTAGCCTGCACAGAAGCGCAGTCGTTTCAAAGAGGGGTCATTAAAGAGCAGGTAGTCATAAGAAATCAATGCTCTGTTTCTCAAATGTCTGCCGGTCATACGCGGAACACTGGCTAGACGGATAATATATCAAACATGACGATTACCACTTTCGACGGAGCACACATGGGACTGATCAAAATTGCTCCCTACCGGTGTTTCAGAATATTGCTGTTCCTCTTGATTGATATTTGTCCTGCAAACGTTTCGTTCCCATTCGAATAGACATCTTGTGTTTATCGCGTGATCATTCTTGATGTGATTACGCCAAAGATGCCGTTTTCCATTGATTTCTACCTCAGAGACAAGTCTGCTCACCACTCAGCTTTATTAAGTGTGCTATGATTGTCTCATCTTTTGGAATCATTTGCCACAAATTAGTGCATGCAGAATAACTGGCATTGATTAACCCGGTAGTATTATATGCCTAGCTAATCTTCATGGTAGTTGAGTTTTTCTGACTGTACACAATTTTCCGGTTGTCCCTTGTTCATCTTTTCACACATTTGTTCCGTAGAAAATTCTCGAAACCGAAAATAACGATAGCCTGGTTTCAACCAGTCCATGTTTACACACAGTTGCGATGAATGCCTCAAACGTGCATAAGTGAGGCGTTATTCGGTTGAACACTGCTCACTAACTTTGTTGACGTTCCTGTTGAGACGAATTCATAGCCTATGCTTGTCCTTGGAGTCAGGTTTATCACGTTTCCCCCGAGATATTTCAGATAGATAGGGGATGTACGACGTATGCCTTTCCCAACGGAATCCCTGTAACCGTTCGTCGACCATATACGGTTGAGTTTATATCTGGATTTCCGGTAACCAGTGAAGAGTTTCGTTACACAGGGAACCAGTAGGTTTCTTCGGGTTTGTGGATTAAGGCAGCTCCACTAAAGCGCATTAGCTAGAGCACCAACTCTCGAAACTTCATGCACAACCACAAGAAAATGACCCATTAACAGGTGGTCAAAAAGAAAGGTTTCGATGGTTCATTTCGCATTGTTTAATGGTAATTATCAGCCCATTTGTTTGATTCTGCACACTACAATCGGATTTCCTTTACTTTGCTTGTTTTGATGGCAAATAAGACAGTAAAATTCAATCCTACGGCCAAATGTTTTTGTGGAAATCCTTGTGTTTTTATCTTGAAATTTCAACAGCTGGTGCTTTGCTTCATGTAATCCCATTTCCCGGAATTTCTGCCATGCTGCGCGGAGGGGCTTAGTGATTTGAATGAATCATGATGTCCTCTACATAGATGACAATATTGCGAACACAGTGAAGTTGTTTTAAGTAGCGCCTGGGTGCCATAGTATGCTTGTTTTCAAGGTGTCGGGATGTGTAAGGGATGTGAACCGTCCTTTTGCTGCTGTTGTACAGCGTAACATTGTCGGCCTAACAATTCTGTCTGATTAGCATATGCACCTAACTTGGAGCGGTGAATATCGATTAGATCGCGTGTGCATTTTTAGTTATTGACTGACCGGAATTCGACACCTGCACGCATACTTTCAGTGGAACTAGAGCCCTCTGATGGAGTGAACAACGACCAAATTTTTTTGCCTGCTGTCTGAACTCACACCCATATGGCACCAAGTAGGTAGGTTTTTTTGCCTTGTTTTCGTAATCGCTTCTACCATGGATTGAAATTCACTAACCAGAGCTGCGTTCCAACACTCCTGTTACTTAGGGAGAAGAACAAAGCTCATTTACTTGATTTTATAGACTTTTTAGTCAAAGTTTTTCATTCGATTGTCACTACACCACTCTTCTTTGGAAACCTTGCCACCTTATTTGCGTTTGTCCGTTTTCCTCATGACATCGGTTGATTGTTCGTACTTTGAATTTTTCCCTACCAATTCTGCAAAAGACTTCATGACTGGTGGCTTCAACAGGTACATGTATGAGGGGAGTTTTCAACGAGGAATTCCTCCACATTCCTTGGAGGAACTGTCCATAAGTCAAAATATTGCTATGTTTATCAGCGTTGATCGAAGGATATCAGCTGATTCGCTTCCGGTTAGTAAACACTTGGAAAGGTTGGGATATTTGAGTTTTACATTGTTGAGAAAGAATTTCATCAAACTCGGTGAATTTCACCTCCATTGCGTCTTCCGTGGGATAAAAACGATAAGAGAAGTAGTCGACCATTTTCAGCCGTTCGGAGTTTTTTTTGATGCCACATCGGTGTTCAACGCCGATTATTCGCTGCCATACAACTGTAATTTGGCAGACCTGTCGAAAAATACAGATGAAACGGGAAAAGATAGGAATCTGGCGCTTGGTAGGCATGTCTACACCTCCAGACAAATTCAGACCATCTAGCTGGATCATGATAGGCAGATCAGTAGCTCTACCTTGAGCAGGATATAGTGTCGTTCATCCTACAGAAACCACATCACTTAATCACATACTGATTGTGACGGCTTCTCACGTGGAATTTTTACTCATCTAGTGGAATTATTCTTCCTCTGAGAAGCCATTCAACGCATAACAACGTGGTTGGAGGTTGAGCGGCTCTCAATGCTGTCCAAGTGCGAGTTAATCACATTTCTGGTCAGCCGCTTGTGACTAAACGGATGTGTTCAAACTACTAGCCGGGTTTGAAACTGTTTAAACATTCGGGAGATGCGCACTGCTGATTAATGTGAACCAGCTGTACAGTGCTCCTTGGCTTTTTAGCATTGATTGGCTTCATTTACATGACTAAACTCGTTTGGGGATTCTCAAATCTACTCACGACAATCTAGCTAGGAAGTGTCAATAAAATCGCCTATCAGTCTGCAGCAAGCACAGGGTGGATCGTGTGGACGACATCCCGGAAGTTGGTCATTCTGTCGGAATTTTCGCGATTGCTTCTAAGCCCTTTTACCAGTTCAGAAGTTGGCCACTTTGAATGAGGTGTATAAGGTAGCATTGTTAAATAGATGATGCTTCCACATGTGCTCTATCGCACACCCTTATTCCAAATGTCCAAAGATAGATCCATTAGCATTATGGGATGTGAGGTTCCTCTGACATGGCTTTCAGCGGCTGATTACATTAAGCAGTATCGTATCGTCGATCCAAATTCAATTTGAGACGGATTTCGTTCCGTTTGCGGCTAGTCAGAGAATGGTAGTCAACCTCTAATCTATGCACATTAATTTCTTTTTGTGTTGTATTCGTAACTGATTTTCACGAACTGGAGTTTCAGATAGATTTCTCGTTTGTGACGTTCCTCAACTAAAGTGCAGCGGAAACGCCGCTTCATGGTTCACTCAAACCGATACTCAAAGTATCGAAGTGTTGTCCCTTACAAACAATACAAGAGGTTCACCAAGTAGCCTGGTATGTATATGGTGTACATCATTTCTGCCCAACCACTTAAATTATAGTGACGCGTTGACGAAACAATGGATGACGTCCTGTCACTGACCTGCCTGTATCTTGCTCGCAAGCCGGACTAACACGGTATGGTCAGACCGTTTAGCCTAAAGCTTTTGAAATAAATACAATTGTCGTAGAACAGTTCGGAGGTCATCGGTTTAACCCTCAGAAGTGTCCTGCGTTTGAAGTTTGGAGTCGCCAAATACATTTATTCTAACACCTTTAAAGGGACAAAAAGGTGGTCAAACTTGAACTGTGTGGTTTATGCATACAAGGCTCTATGCGTAACACAAGAGCAAAACAGTCAGATGTGGTGAGATTCCCTCTATTTGTGTTGATGGTTTTGGAGATGCTTTGATCAAAATTTGGCAAAAGGTGATGGTGTGGTCATTTCAGTGTTAAGCATGCAGTAATTCGTCCTGAAATAGCTGTTTTTTACGTGTATGTATTTGTTGGCTATTTTGTTGACAGTTCCTTTGCGTACGAAGTTATGAACAACAGACCTAAGTGAAATTCGGATAGGTCTTCAGTTTATGATGTTCTTCAGGAAATTCCCCCATAGAATTCAGTTGGGTTGATATTTAGGATAGTGAAGTACTCTCCGGACCATAGTAACGTTGATGCGATTTAGCGGATAGTGAGTTATCAGTTTTGCCAGATTCATCCCTCATTAGGTAACTGTATTCAGTTGGGGAACATCCCTCAAGCATGAACATGTTCGTCTGTTCAGATATGAAATTTCAGACGCATCCAGCTTGTGCTGGTGGAGTAGTGATAAATTGTTTCCTTCGCATATCAAATGTTCGGAATGCAAAACCCGGTACTGCTAAGGATGATGCTTTTGATGAACTGTAATAAGGGCAGAGCGCGAGTCCATTGCTCGCCCGCTTGGGGTGGACTCATCAGAATAATCGCCCCAGGACAGGAGGACGGCTGTTCAATCGATAGTGATGTGTGCTTGAATAGATGATGTAGTTATTGGATGCTTGTTCATACCTTCTGTTCGCACCGATTCGGCATGCAAAAGCGGTATACCTTTTTTCATGCACAATATGTTGGAGTCTCACTCACAGATATTATTCTCGCCCGACGCGTCAAGTCTTAGGAAGTAACATAGAGCCCCACGGTTCTGCGTTTGCGTCGGTTTAGTTTGTAGGTAAACGTGGAGAGGATTGATCTGACAATGTCATTCCAATGCGACTTTTAATTAGTTTCATAAAATGTTGGAGGTTTTGTATGCTAATGTGCTCGCGGTTACACATACTGTTGTTCTTTTCACTGAGTTTGACTAGTTTGATTGCAAACGTTCTACCAGCAACCGGGGAGTATCATCCGTGCGTACTGAATTACCGTGGCGGTGTTGCTAAATGGTGCGTTGGTGTGTAAACGAACAGAGCCATTCCCACAGCCCGACCTACCAACAATCCCTTCAGTAGCAAATCGATACACTTTGGTGACAATGCGCATAAATGACTAGACTGTTTGGTTTGTTGCACCTGCACTTTAGTCCGTTGCAGAATTGGAAGGTGCATGTGAACGGTGTTTTGCAAAATGACCTTTTCTAGCATAAAAATGTAATGAATACCTCCAGCTAATGTGTGCCTGTGTACATGCGTGCCTGTTTGTCCGCGTTAAAGAACGGAATGAACATGCCAATGATACATCCGTTCACTCTAACAAGCACATCTCCATCGCTCCATCATTCCATCTCGTCCAACTCAGTACCCCCCCCCCCAAAGTCCCGTTTGAGAATTTTTGATATAAGTTAATAGCACCCTCTTTGTGGACAATTACATACTTATCAGTTTTGCTGTCATTCGCTGACATTTCGGTTTCGCCCAACATAGACTCAGGCTAGTTTGTGCTTGTTCCAAAGTCGTCGTGCCCCACTGTTTTCTCATCGATCTTTCATTTTACGACTAATACGTTTATCCAGTACATTGTGTTGAGCAATGCCACCCCTAATTAAGAACATCCAAACCGCTTGGCACGTCCTAGTCATAAACATGAGGACTGCTCTCAGCTGTTGCTGTTGTACATTTGGTCTGATTTTTATATTTGTTTCCACTCGACCAATGATTCACGATGTATTTTTACTTCTCTTTTTCGTACAGTAGTTTGTTGTTGAGGACGTGGACAACAGAACCACTTTGATCTGGTCGGTGTTTCGTTCTGCTGGATTTTCAGTATACCTACTTTTTGATGACGGCTAACTTGACCCATTTGGCCATCTTCCTGTGACTGGTTTCTTTTTGGTGTATTTTCGTTTTTCACTGTTCGTAACTTAACCGTAACCGGTGATATTATTTCCGGTGGACACATTGAAACCTCTCGTCTTTCCTTGTTCAAAACTTTTGGCCTATTCATTAGAAGAACTTCATGATTTGGATGGGGTTCTTACGACCATTGGCACCCCGTTTACTTGGTCGTCCTTGGTGTTTTGGCATCCATCATCTACAGATCAGACCTGAGTGACTATGGATGGGATATTAGACTGGCTACGGTTGGGTTGCTGATGCAAGATTGCTCTGAAGGGAGTCCCCAAGTCACTTATTTTCGTTCACTGTAAGAGATTCGTCATGACTAGCAAGAAGCTTCTCAGCTTCATGCTTTGACGTAACTCAACATAGTCTCAAGGAACCAATGTCTTTGAGGAAACACAATTGCTGCAAACGCTTATCAGGTAGGCGCAGTTCCCGTCAACCTTATGTTCTACTTGCATCACTGTCCCCGTCTGAACTCGTCAGGTTAGTGGAACTATCAAGTTGGAGCAGTTGTAGCCGTTTCTAACTACCGACGATTTTTTGTGAGCATAATTTTGCAAGGTAGACTCTTAAGCTTGTTTTTGGCCTTTTAGGCCTTTGGCATATTGATCTTGAACCCACTTACACATGCCTGTTGAGCTAGAGTCGGTCTGAAAAGCGTTATATGGTGTGCTTTACATCTTTAGTTGTTCATGCTCCCAACTACATATTATGAGAAATCTCCCTACTGCATTTACCCCCTTCCTCTCTGAATGGACGAAAATCAGGATGGCTTACTTTCAGTTGATCTCCTGTAGCGTGTATCAGTCGCGAACTCCGTTACAGAAAGAAAGCTGTGCAAGAAAATTCACTTTTGGTCGGTCTTTTTTCAAGAGAAACTGTTGAATTTGCAGCGCGTGCGTGTGCGCCTTACCAAATATGTTTGTAGTGCAATAGTCTAACGTGCCTGTTCAGTTTTGCCTTTGTAACGTTTGCCGTGCTTGCTACCCATTGTAACATCTCTTTGTACCATGCGTGATTTTCGTGCCATATAACCATCAATTTGGCGCACTTGGACCCATATTTTCTAGTGGGTACTGCGAAACTGCCATTTTGAAACATTTGCAGCAGCAAAGGCGCCAACAGAATAAATCAAAAGTCAGATCATGTTAGGCTGTCCACATTATTTCGAGTGCTTGGGCGGGGTCATGCCGATTAACGGTGGTCTTTCATGACTTCAGGAGGGGTGTTTGACTCCGTGAATTGGTAGGTTTTCCCACTGATACTTAACCGATTGGGATTACCTACGAGATAATTTGAGATAGCTAAGGGGTTAACGCGCCGCCTTACGGACCGGAAGGTCCGTGGTTCGGCTACTCCCGTCTAGGCTTGGGAAACCTGTCAGTATCTCAGCGCTCGTGCCTCCTTCCGTTGGCACGGCAGCTGGGCACCGAAAGCGTGCTGCAGCTGAAAAAATGCCCACGAATTTTGAACTTTCTTCTTGCCCCTTGTTCCCTGACTTCTTGTCGCGTTGGTGTTTGCAGTGAACCGTCCAATAGTTTTCAACAGTGGGTGAGGATCAGCAGGGTTGTCGTGTCTCCCCATTTTTGTTCATTACTGTCATTGAAATCACCATGGGGCACTGTTTCCAAGGTATCATGAATCTCAGTTTCGAAATCACACCTAGAGGGAGATTAGTAGACCTGGACTTGTGTGCGCTATTCTTTTAGCGGTAAACGATGATGAACCTGCATCAAGTACTTTAAATGATTGGACGTGGTCTTTTTTTCGGGAATCGCTGTGCAACTGCGTAGTGCGGAGATTTGACTTACGATTTCCCACCCCCTGTACACTCTTGTAACCTCAGAATGAAGAGCATGTGTTTGTTGCTAGGTTTACTCATCCACGCATGAGCAGTACTCACCAGCTTGAGTCGTCTGTAGCGTCTGAAACAAAGTGCTGTGCCTAAAAGATGACCTTGATATCAGTCTTTGTTTGTTGCTATGATACCTGGTCTCTTACGGCAGTTAAGCATCTGTGTTGAACACTGATGTCATGCTGTCGATGATGATGATGACCTCGTCTCTGATGTAAGAACCTCATTTGTCTCCAAATGTCTCATATGTCACAAACGTCACCGTGACACACCAGACGTTAACTGACTCCAACACGTTTTTAATGGACGTGTCCTTCAACAGATATGTAGCAGTGAGTCCGGATCGTTAGAGGAGCAAATACAGGTTATCAGATTAAGGTAGTTAAAGAGTGTACCAATTATGCTCAAACACCGTCTACTAAAGAAAGTCGTGTTTCCAATCCGAATTCTTGCTGGCAAAAGATTTACACATTACAGTCAAAATAAAAGCAGTTATTGTGGTCTTGGTGTGCATGGTTAAAAGCAGGATTGGGCATATCACCGATCCCGGCAGCGAGCATGCTGTCATTTTCAGCCGAACTCCTCGGGTAGAATTCACCTCCCTCCGGCAAGTTCGCCACTGCCTATTTCCCATTACCTTTAAGGCAGGTCTGCAGCTTAGAGCTCAAAGTACTCATGAAGTGATTAACATCGCTGGTGAGTTTACTCTGATCTTCATCGTCATCATGCATAGCTTTTCACTTTCGGTGCCACACAACGATGAAGAAAGAAGAGTCTGGTAAAGAGGGAAGAGCTAGGAACTAAAAGCCCTATACTCTCTTGGAAATTTGTCTGAAGGAAGGTGTCTGCAACCTCCAAAACCTTTCAAATAAGCATAACATAGTGTTGGCGCAAGACCCCATCAGTAGTAGTTACCTGGCACCATTCATAATGCTTACTAACTACAAGCCCAACGTACACCGACGGATCAACTTTAACCTTAGAAAGCACCGATATTGTGTCAGTTGTTGAACCGTAATTGGGTAATTGGCTCGGGGGTTGGCATTCGTGTACAAAATATATAATGGAGTATCTGAGGCCCCATAATGTGGCGCATGTAACGTGTGCTGTGCTTAACTCGAACCAAGATATTCCGTAGCTGCTTTCACTTCGGCAAATTAGAATATGTTGGTATTCTGCTGTGGTCATCACATGATGTTTTAAATGCTCGATAAACAAACTTCGATTCAATCCAGCTCCTTTGCTACTTTCAACGTTCGATATCTGTTCGCACAGTTCTGTATAAAGACCATGAATTTTGGTTTTCTAACTCTCGAATCTACACTCAACTTGTTTTTCAGGGGAGAGCGGTTTGGGAAAATCTACTTTGATCAACAGCATGTTCATGCAGGATCTGTACAAGGATCGCGAGGTAGCCGGTGCATCTGAACGCATTAGGAGTACTACTCAGATCGAAAAACGCCAGATTGAACTAGACGAGCGAGGGGTGAAGCTCCGGTTGACCGTTGTCGACACTCCCGGGTTCAACGATGCTGTCGACTGTACCGATTGGTAAGTGGCCATTATGCTCACGAACGGGTGTTTTTTCTAATAATATGTGACTTTAGTTTGAGGAAAGTGCTAATCAGGCCATCTGGAGAAGGCCTGACGATTAGCGGAACTGCCATTCCATAAGTCGGCTGACCCAAAGCAAGGCTGCTGGACCGTGTTACAAGCGTACAATGAAAAAGTAACGATTACTTATTGCTGCACGAAGGCGAATTCGTCTATTTTTTTGCTATTCCTCCCAGCCGATGCCCGACTTTGTTTGATGAAATGCCCTGAAGAAGCGAATTACCCGAATTCAGTTGAAAAAATGTTTTTAAGGGGGAGTTGGTAGTTAAATGCCGTATAAACACACACCAGTACCGATCTTGATAACACAGTGAACCGCGAAGACTAGTTGGGTCGCCTCACAACGATCATTTCCCCATGGCCCTCACTCGCGTCAATCACAAGGATCACCATCCTAGTACAAGCCTAGAACTGTTTCGTTGGATAGATTGCCTTTATGGGAATGCCGTCTGAGAAGCATTACAGACCGCGGGCATTCTGTCTTTCCTAAAGACTTCTGAGTTCAGTAAATTGTTATGCTAAACGGCTGTCATCGTGAAGCGTCCAAATGATTGTAGTGCTCCTGTGAGCTGAGCATGTCATCAATGGAGACAAGTTTTCGTGTGCTAACAGAAAGGGATTGCTGGATCTGGAAAGGGAAAGTCTGTAGTCGTACCTTATTTGAAGCAGTTGACATTTTTTTAGATTAAGGCCTTTGATGGTATTCCTAAGCCAAAGAAATGATCGTGGAACCCAAGTCCCCCAAGTCATTTCTCTGGACTGTTTTTGCAGTTAGATGTCCCGGTTGACGATTTACAGGATTATACAACAACTGTCAATCACATTAAAAGCTGTAGTCCGTAGGAAAAGCGCAATAAAAGCAAACAAGAAAACCAAACGTGACACTCTTACACCATCCGACGGTAAGTGCGTGGGTTCGCCTGCTTTTTTGATGACATGGGAGTTCTTCGTTGATGCTGCCAGTTTATGGTGCCTTACCGGTACGACTTCGAGTTAGGAATATAGCAAGACAGGCTTTTAAGTTCGCAATCTAATTTTCTGCAAAATTACGTTGGTCCACTTTGCGTGGTTGTCTGCTGTAGAGGACCAAACTGAAGGGACCAGGCAGTGTTTTATGAAGCACTCTTTCCGGAGACGGACAACTGTAGTGTTGAGGCTGAGTGAATACATGCTGACCCCAATGCACTATACTATTTGTTGTGTACGTGAGGATACTAGCATATAAGTCTTTATAGAACTTCAGGTTGCTTACGATACAAACATCCAAAGAAAAGAGGTTAGCTTCAATTTCGGGACACAATCTACACCGAAGTCATGTAGCCAAAGCAACACCACAGTTGACATCGCGTCGAAATGCAGGGAAGTCTGGTCATTTGTTGGTGTTTGATTACGTGGCAGTTGATTCGCTCACCATTCTTGGGAATTGTGTTGCGAATGTTTCGCCTCCAATCGAGGAGGCCTCATCAGTACGCAGTTGGGTGGATCAGCTGCAGTAATATTTTATGATACTGATAAAAAGACAGAGATGGGTGACCTAGTAGGCACTGGAAAAGCCTCCTTTGGTTGTCCTCTCTCAGGGATGGGTGATATACCAGTTTGATGGATTTTGTGGCTTAGAAGGTCAAGACCACGAGCACCGAATTGTTGATGTTAATTTTAAATAAGAATTGTAAAAAACTGCACTTAGATGCCAGTTATGTTCACTTGACGAATGACCAACTATCAATACGCCATAAATCGGCAACACGCAAACGGCAGACCACATAGCGATTCGTTGGTAAAACAGTGTAGGGGGTTTGTGCAGCTTTGCATTAGCCGAAAGGCATTCTAGTAAATCCCCACAAACCGAACGCAGCGGTGATAGCCGTCTTAGAGATGTTTTCTTCATCTATTGGAGTATGGTAGTAATACCGCACGAGTTGGTCTTCGACAACCACCTGGTGTGTGATAAACCAATGAAAAATCGTGGATATGAGGAGTCGGGCATTGATTTAGTACACGGAGACGGCTAAGTATAAGATTAATCGCCTCAAGGCCTCCATTCTCCATTCACCCTATAGAGCTTTGACGGTCAGTTGTTTGAATGGGGTATCACATCACTTGGCTTAAGCATGTTCTCGAATATCCGTTTAGCTACAGTCGACTTTTCGGGGTTGAGTCTACATGAAGTAAGAAATACAAGCTGTTCCTGTGTGTGTTGCGTTTAACTGTGTCGTTCTGAAAGGAAGTACTGCGAGTGTGAAGTTTTCCAGTGATCAACACGAACTAGGCGGTCACAAGCTGTCAGATACGAAGGTAAAAAACCTCATTTTCGCAGAGTTTAAGTGAACAACCTCAAGAGTCTTGAGGTTGTTCACATAGTAAACAGTATTGAACAAACACCGCAAAGCGGTTCAATATTTCTGTCAACCTTCAATTAGCTGCGGGGACCGCGCGTTGACACAACTCGGATATTTCACCAGTAGTATACATCGCTATAGTTGTACCGACACGGTTGAGTCAAGGACAGAAAGTGCCTGAGAATATCGGCGAATACCAAACGAAAGAGAAGTTACCAGGAACCGACGTATAGAAAAGTAGCTACATCGGTCATACGTCTGCTTATCACATCAACAGTTAAACCGAAATGAGAGAAAATCGATGCTGAAAATGGCTGTTTTCACACCGGATGTGATGAATAGTCATCAAAGTGTGAGAAATAGACCAAAACGGATTATTGATGATTTCTCGCCATTGGCTGTTTATAAAGAATGAGATAATGGACGTATCGGGTGTTTGGACGCATGGGAAGAGCACTAACCGCCGCGCCAGTGTCAACTGGGAAACGATGACTGATTGATCTATTAGTTATTTACAACAGGCGACTGTCGCGTGTCCGACCAAGAACAGTAATCGCCGTCACTGTCCTACCTGGGAGTTCGGCTCTGAGGAAGTTCTAGGCTAAATGTACAGAGTTCTTCACATTTTCGGCCTCTGGGTCTGAGGTTTGGTAACACCAGCACCGGCTGCTCCGGTTCCTGGATCGAGAACGCTGCCTTCCATAACTCTGGTTTAGCCCAAATGCCGAAAGGTGTTCTGCAAGTTGCCGGAGTGGGTCGTTAACCGAGTCGCAACATTCACGATGAATATTGTTTTTTGCTATGCGTTGTATGTATTGAACAGTATAATGCTCGAGAATTCTGTCGGCGTAATGTAATATATGTGCCTCAATGAGTTGTCCTCCTTAAAACCGCGAACAAACTGGACTTGGAGGGCGGTGGTTTATCCAACCACTTAAGTCAGTATGTCTTCCGGCAGTGTTCGACCTTATCATTTGGACGGGATCGCGATCTCCCAGGTCAGCGGTCGTGGAAAGGTCACGCGAAATCTTCTTGCGTGACTGACCTGTTTTCGAAATATCAGCCTCTAGCAAATGTCATAAGAAGGCACTATCTAGTGTGTCTTGGACATCCGCCGCCACGGTGCTTCATGACAGACGAACTTAGCTGTCTCCCCCTTGAATAAAATAATCTACGTTGTGGGGTTTGCGGAATGTGTATTGTTCACATTCACATCACTCTCGTTTGAACAGTCGTCCTCCTGTCCTGGCACAATTATTCTGTTGAATCCGCACCAAGGGGGGGAGAAGCACTGAACTCGAGTTTCGCTCTTGTTAGAGCTCATCAGCAGTGCATATCTAATGGCCGTGCCAGGGTTCGAACTCCGGACACCTGACATGCGAGGCGAACGTATTACCTTTATTCCACAAGCGCGTGTGAAAGATACTCTACCTTGATGGAACCAAACTGTAAGTTTGCGGACATTAGATTCGGGCAACCGAAGAGTAGCGAAATCCTTTTTGGACGCGTAGGTATAATAGAAATGGATATCTTGGCTTCCTGAAAAGATTCTTCGCCTTGAATGCCCACTATAAGCTTCGGGGAGCTGTCGTCAGGTTCAGCAAAATACCGCTTATGAGTAACTTCTAGGAAGAACAATTTCACAGACAACCTGATAGAAATGGTAGAATGTCTAGGAATGTCCGTACTCGCAAGTTTGCATCAGTGCATTCCGAATTCGGAACCGTTGATTCAGATTGCGATTTTAGCGGGGCGTTGCATAGAAGAGATAATTCTGGGATTGAAAAAGGTTAGTCGACAAAAAAAACTACAAAACATCGCCTTCAAAGGGACTCCGCAGAAGTGAGCGTGAATGGAGCAGGCAAGCACACATGAGCAAAAATGTATCCAAAATAAGGACGTGTTTGCAGTTATGGGTTATTTAGACACAAAACTAAATCGAGGTCGTGAAATGGCGGAGTGTTTATAAAAGGCGAATAAACGCGAAAATGAATGTCCGAAAGATGTGTAACCAGCAAACCCAGTGCAGTCTTTGGGGTACGAAAGGGCTGTGTGGAATTCTTAATGTTTCTGCTACTGCCTACTGTAAAGTAGTATAAAGGTTTTGTGAGTTTGTGGTCGAAAGGATGAATCAACTTGAAAATTGAAATTGAAAATTCTCGGGAATAACTTTCATCCCACGTGTGTATTGCACCGATTTAGTAACTTGTTCGCTCTGGTTGTACCATGACTCACCAGATGGTCTGATATGATTTGGGTCCACTTTCGAGATGGTGAAAAAGTTCAAGATCGGTTTTAACTTCTCAACTCCAGTTTAAGGAAATCCAGATAGATTCTTCTTGTTGAATATTCACCTTAACCAATCTATGTGCCATCCGTACGACGAAAAATACATCTGGCAAGTTCATCCGCTCTCCCTTGGGAGATCCACTCAAGGCAATGACTAAAGTCTCTTTAGAGCTTCTTGAGCATAAATGTTCACCGCCGCTGGTGTGGAACACAGTTTTGGGTTTGAGCCGTCTGTCGAGGAAATCTATAAGTACTGTAGACAAAAGTGTACTAGAGTTTTCGGAATGTGTGGTAACAATCGACAGATTT